GAAGAAGAAGAAGAAGAAGAGAAAAAAAGAAAAAGAAGGGCAGTGGAACTACAGCTAATGTTGCCTGTGGCAGGAGGTCATTTGGCAATATTCTCCTGCCCTTAAAAGCTTGCTGATTTACTTGGGCTACTCATTATCTACTACTTTCTGGATTCTTCTACTACTTCTAAAGTCAAATGACTTGACACTCACTAAGACATTCCCTTGCAGTTAAACAGTAGTTTCTTTTTTGACTTTCTCTGCTTTGGTAACATTCCTTAGAGAAAAAAAGAATACTCCAGCTCTTAGGTGCTAGCATCTTTTGATGGAAAGAAACTCACTGCAATTTACAAAACTGGCCAGGCCTGTTGGAAAAATGGGTTTTGGTTTAAGAAGATTTTAGGCTAGAGAATATACAGGTGTTAGGTAGTGTAGTGACTAACCATAGAGAACTGTGGCTCAGGTCAAAAACAAGAGGCTCATGGACCATGTTCTAGATAGAAAAAACAGCAAAGGCCAAGCCCACAAGGCAAAGAGGCATTTACAGCTTTTGAAGAACAAGAAAGGTTCTGTGGCTGGAGTACTGAGAACAAGGGAGTAGACAAAAGAAAAACAAAGCTGAGAATAAGGCAGGGATCAAATGCAGTATCTGGTAGGAAATATTAAAAATGTAGGCTCCTATATTTAAACTAGAACAGTGAGCCTCCTAGGCCTAACATTATTTTCTTTCATTTTGCTTTATATTTCGTTTTTGAGACAGGGTCTCCCTGTATATTTCAGACTGGACTTGAACTCATGGCAATCCTCCTGCCTCAGCTTCCTGAGTGACAGGATTACAAGAGCATGCTACCACACGAGGGTAAAGCTCTAATATTAGAGAAACACAGATGGTCAATACTTCCAGGTGTTTCTATGGGAACACAGGGCATCACAGTGCTTTGTGCCTGGTGGGAAGTGGAAGCAGTCACTGTGCGAAATCTGCAGTTCCACTGGCCAATAGGCCAGAAACTATCCAATGGACACTGCATTCGATTACATCCTATCAACTAGAAAAATAACCAGGAGTCCATGCTGATATAAGTACACAACTGGAGAACAAATGAAGAAGGGACAGAGACTTAACAATAGTAGGTGGAATTTTAGATAAAGGAAATCACTAAGCACATCATAGAATGCAATGTAGAACTTAAGAAATAATGCTCTTAAACAGGGAGAAAAGATTGGAAACACTAGTAAAATTTGAATAAAGTCTGGAGTTCACTTGGTAGTAACATCACAGTGGTTCAAATTTTTTCATTTTGTTAAACATGTTAGGGGTTCCTGCAGTCCAGAACAATCTTGGGGAGTGGTTACATATACATCGCACAGCTTGTTTCTCTTTTGATCCCTTTCCCTTTCTGTCCCTTTCCCTCCCTCCTCCTCCAGTTAACCTATCCCATATTCCACTCATCAATAGTATTGATCTTAACTCATGTTATGGCATATAATATTTACACTAATTGAGGTTATTAGGCTCCTGAACATGACATATCTTTATTCTACTTATTTCCCCTTCCCCTCCTCCTCACCCCTCATACCTTTCCTACAGCAAGATGTCCATCTCTTTGTCCCCTTCTATGCATCCTTACTATTGTTTCTACTTTGCCTCACTCAAATGAGAGATATCATATGGCATTTAAGCTTGTGTGTCTGTTTTATGTCACTCAATCTTACATTTTCCAAGTGCACCCATTTTCCTACCAGTCTCAAATCTGTCATTCTTTATAGCAGAACAGTACCACATCAGATATAGATACCACATTTTCTTTAACCAATCAACTGTTGACAAATATATAGGTTATTTCCATGTTTTAGCTATTTGGAGTTGAACTGCTACCAACAAGGCTATATATCAGTGTACTATGATGTCTTAAGCTCTTTGGGGAAGATACCTAGCAAGGGGATGGCTGGGTCATGTCGTTTCAGTTCTTCAAGAAATCACCATACTGATTTTCATAATGGTTATACTAGTTTACATTCCCACCAACCATGAAGAAAGGTTCTTTTTTTTTTAACCACAGCCTCACCAGCATATTGGATTTTAAGAGTTTTTTGAGACAGGGTCTTGATATATAGTTCAGGCTGTCCTTGAACTCACTTATGCAGCCAAGGCTAACCTCGAGCTTACAGTGAGTCTCCTGCCTCAGCCTCCAGAATTGTGAAATTACAGGCATGCACCACCATGCCCAGCAGCACCTGGTATTTTTTTTATTTCTTAATCATTGCCATTCTTTCTGGAGAAGGATGGAGTTTTAGCATTGTTTTAATTTATCTCTCGCTAATGGCCAGAGATGTTCAGCATTTTTCACAATTTGTTGACCACCTGTATGTCATCCTCTGTGAAGTACTTATTCTTTTCTCTTGCCTATTTCTTGACTCAATCTTTAATTTTAGGTGGTATAACTTTTTTGAATTATTTGTATATTCTAGGCATTAGTCCTCTGAGGAGATGCTGGCAAACATTTTCTCCCATTCTTTAGGTTGTCTCTTCACTCTACTGATTGATTCTTTTGCTGTACAGAAGCTTTTTATTTTTAGTTTTTGTTTTGTTTTGTGGAGACAGGGTCTTGCTTTGTAACCTTGAAACTACTGTGTAGTCTGAATTGTCCTGAAACTCATGGCAACCCTCCTGCCTCAGCCTTCTGAATACTGGGATTATAGACATGCACCACCACACACAGCCATATAGAAGCTTTTCAGTCTGATATAATTCCATTTGTTGATTTCTTGTGTAATTGAAGTTTTGTTTAGAAAATATTTTCCTATATCTATGCCTTTAAGTGTTTCACCTATTTTACCTGCCCCTGGGTTTAATATTTCTGTTTTAATGCTTAGACCTTTGATCCATTTTGATTTGAATTTAGTATATGGTGAGAGATAAGGGCCCAAATTCAATCAGCACACAGATAACCAGTTTTCTCAGTGTCACTCATTGAACACATTATCTTACCTCCAACGTACATGTTTTTGCTTCAATAGTGTGACTTTTTTTTAATGAAAAGGAAGAACTCAACTTGTGCATTTTATGTATTTGGTACAGGGTCTCACTACACAGCTGACTCATAGTGATGCTCCTGTTTCAATCTCCCTAGCGCTGGGATTGTTGGCATGTGCCACTATGCCCAATATCAGTGGCCAGCTCAGTGCACCCAGGGTGGGACCAGCACAGCATGCAGTACCAGGATCAAACCTGGGTCCTTGTGCTTGCTTAGGCAGGCACTTGGACAGCTAAGCTATGTCCATGGCCCAGGCCATTTTTATCACTATAGTTATGTAGTAAAACTTTAAGTCAGGTAATGTAAGGCCTCTTGCTTTGTTCTTATTGCCCAAAATTACTTCTCTTATT